GTGACATGTTCGTACGAACCCTTCATACGAACAAAAGTAAGAGAAATTTAGGATAAGAATACGAACATGTTCTTGCATGAGACCCATTCTTTGCAGTCAGTTTTAAACTTAATTTAATTCCTGGAAATTCCCTAACGACCCAAAATTTGGAGTTTTTAGGACCCACAGTGGGGTCTCAACCCTAATTTGCTGTAGATGAAAGTGCCTGTGACATCAACTTTTTTGTTAGAAATGTGAATTTATTTTTGGAAATACAACATTATTAATATATTATGAAATGAATTTCACGATGCCCAGTTGGACAGTTGTTGAGATATTTGCATGTGAAGCAACAGGAAGTGATGTCAGAGGAATGTCTGCATGTGAACGTTTAATGTTACCAATTATTTTAATATTTGAGACGAATTACAATCATCCTATTTACAATGTGTTCACATTTTTAAGACTTCTGACAAATTGATTTAAGATATTTTAAGGTTAATTAAGGCCTTATTTTTGGATCGATGAACTCAATGCGTTTTAAGACTTTTTAAAGATCTATAGGAACCCTGAGGTACACCTACAGGACGTTTTCCTGTTTGTGTCCCGACGCATGTTTAGTAATGTGTCTGGTGGTGTTTTCTCTCTGTGTTTGCTGCAGGAGGTGAACAGAGAGCTGACCAGCCAGCAGGAGGCCTCGGCTGAGCTGCAGCAGCAGCCGCCGGCAGAGATGTTTGATTTCAAGATTAAGTTTGCAGAGACAAAGGCTTACGCCAAGGTCAGACAGTAAGAGATGCTTTTAGTCTGAGCAGGAAGCTGCTGTCAGTTTAAAAAGGGATTAAATACTAACCCTGTGTGCTGCTTGGTGTGTGTTGTTTTCAGGCCATTGAGATGGAGCTGAGGAAGATGGAGGTGGTGCAGGCCAACAGACACGTGTCTCTGCTGACCTCCTTCATGCCCGAGTCCTTCCTTCGTCACGGTGGAGACCACGACTGCATCCTGGTGCTGCTGCTCATCCCCAGGCTCATCTGCAAGGTGAAACCAAACAATGTTTATATGAGATTAAATCTGTGTCCAGAATATTAAACAACAACAAAAAAACATATGTATAATAAAATAATAATGAATAAATTATCTTTTATTTGACACTTTTTTCATGTTTTGATCAGCTGGGAGTTTTTATCGTCTTTCAGTGACAGCTTTGTGCTCAGGACGTTCTAATAGTGGATTTTATTGTTGTTTTTCTATCAAAACTTTTACATTTTGTTTGATTTTATTGGCACAAATCCAATCCAATTGTTGACTGGATATGATCTACAATCTTTGTGTGTCTTTAATTTTTCTGTAGCTTCAGTTCTGCGTTTCCTTAAAGTCCAGATGAAACATTTCCTACGACAGCATCAGTCAGACTGACCTACACTGTTAACATACAACATATAACATGCAGTGGACGATAAGAATAAAGAGTCCAAATGTGACAGAAGACGTTTAACAAGGGACTGATTAGATAAAGAAACAAACTAAACATATGAAGACAAAGATCTGAAGAAGAAAACCCAGAAAAACTAAAAATGGTTTAAAAAAACAGCCATTGACCAGAATCTAAATCAGGGGTGCGCAAACATTTTCTCTGAAAGGGTCAAAATTAAAATCATCTGAGGGGGTGGGCCAAATGCAGTAATATAATACATGAAATGCAAATATTTCAAGGAAAGTTGTATTTTCTATGATTAAGCTGCAGCCAGTGCAGTTGCCCACATTTTTTTTCTAGCCCATGGACATGGAGAAAATTCAACGTTTGCTCGGGCAGCAAAGGCTCATGTGACTTTTCATAATTTTAAATTTGAGTATATGGGGTATTATAAGGTGTGCAAATCTAGAAATGAACTTAAATCTAATATAAATGCCTCCTGAAGTTACTTGTATTATAAGTTTAATCTTAATATACTTCAAAGATAAAGTGAGCACCATGAGTTAAGTTTATCTGACTACAGCTCCTTGTACCTATAGTTGGACCAATGTTTGAAAAGACTAAGTGCAAATAGTATTTCTATATAAAACAGGAGATTACAATCTAGTAACCAGGATAACTGCTAGTGGGCCAAATCAAATGGCTTGGCGGGCCAAATTTGGCCCACGGGCCCCACTTTGGGCACCTCTGATCTAAATCATCAGGTTGCGTTGGATCAAACTCACTTCCTGGTTTGAACTCACTTCCTACATGACTGATGAGGCTCCGCCCATCATACTGTGATGTGTTCCAATGATGAAAGAAAACCAGGAAGTTTAGTATTTAGAGCGCTGCTTTGATTCTGCTGGTTTCTAAAGGAGATCTCCTCTGCAAGCTTCCAGATCCAGAGATGGATCTGGCTGCAGGCGTTCAAAGCAGGWCTTGTTTCTGTGAACGGTTACGTTTCTGTAAGGAACCTTAAAGCGGTTCTTCAGTGTGGAACAAAGTTGGTCTGTTCTCCACGTTTTCTCATTGATTTATACATGTTGTTGAAGTTGGACTCTTTGTCTTGTTAGTTTTTGTGGTTTGTGTTAAAGGAAGTTTAAAGAAGAATCTCCTTCAGGTCATCCAGACGATGAAGCACAGCAGTGGTCTAAAGCTCCTGGTGGTCCTTAATGAGCTGAAGTCCACGTTGAGACAGTTTGATCTGATTTTCTGAGTCCAAACGATGCGACCAGCTGGTCAGAAACAGTACTGGTTTTATCTGTGTGGACATCAGGGAGGAGACACGACCTTCACCACTGGGATCTTCTGCTGAGTCACAGAGCACCTGTTACTTTAGATATTTATTTAATTTCTTTTGAAAGTTAGGAAAAAATTGATTGATAAGATTTGATCTGACATCTCCCAAAAACAAACAAATTCTCTTTCCATCCTCCTAAAGTTCAGCTTGACTAGTTTAATATCAACATTTTTCAATCGTCAGGAATTGAACCAACAACCTGAGTATTGGTAACCACCAGTTTATCATCCTGAGCCGTTTGTTCTGCTCACATTTCATTCTGCGCTCCTTATTACTTTAACTTTTATTAATCAGTTTTAAAGTTTGCCATCATTACAGATGATGAAAATAAATCCCCCCCGCTGACATGAGGAATCGAACCTTCAACCTTTGTTCTCTCATCCTCCTCCTCATCACTGTGAGCTGTTTGTTCTGAGCTTAAAAGTCTTTTCTGTTCACATTTCAGATTCCTCTTCAGTTTATGTCAGTTTAAAACAATCAAAAAACAATTCTTTAGTTTAATTCTTGAATCCGGAAAAATGTCAGAACGTCACTAAAACACCCACAGATCTTGAATTCACTCTAAAAATGTCATTATTACTGTGAGAACCATGAATTCATTCTAAATCTTTTTGTTAATTTTACCTTTAAATAACAAATATCCTGTAAATATAGCCACAGTATTTCAGTAAACAGTGAGACTAACAGTGTACTGTGTATTTAAAACTCTCACAGGCTGGTTAGAGAAGGAACAGCTGTCCAACAGGAAGCAGTACTCTCAGCTGCACCATGTAGAAAACGTCTCTTTGCCTCTGTGTTTGTGGCTCTGCAGGCCGAGCTGATCAGCAAACAGGCGCAGGAGAAGTTCGACCTGAACGAAAACTGCGTGGAGCGAGCCGGACTGAAGGGAGCCGTYGGGGAGCAGCTGAGCTTCGCGGCGGGCCTCGTCTACTCGCTCAGCCTGCTGCAGGCCACGCTGCACAGATACGAGCAGTAAGCCTCACATAAACACCGCTCTGTTACGTGGTCACTTTGACTGACGGCCAGCAGGAGGGATGAGGATTTTCTCATCTCTGTGTTTGTCAGAGCTCTGGGTCAGTGCAGCGTGGAGGTCTACAAGAAGGTCGGCTCTCTGTACCCAGAGATGAGCGTTCATGAACGATCGCTGGACTTCCTCATCGACCTGCTGCACAAAGACCAGCTGGACGAGACGGTCAACGTGGAGCTGCTCACAAAGGCCATCAAATACTATCAGGTGCGACACATTTAAAACTTTAGAGATTGTATACAGAGCAACATGTTGTCTAGTTTTTATTTTTATGTTTTTAATGTTGTCATGATTCCTGCTGCTCAGTTAAAGGAGACATACAGCGGGTAAAATAAGTATTGAACACGTCAACATTTTTCTCAGTAAATATATTACTAGAGGTGCTAATGACATGAAATTTTCACCAGATGTTGGTAAC